CCGGGGGGCCAGGGGCCCCCTTGGGTGGGGGGCGCCGCCCCCCCAAAAAAATTTCGTGGCCCCGCTCTTCCGAGAAAGCCCCCCCAACTTTCACGGTTTAGTAAAAAAGAGACCAAGATTAACCCCGTCCCGGGGGGGGGGGAGGGTCTTCTCCCCACCCAATTCGGTGGGGGGGGGGGGGGGGGGGGGGGGGGTCACGAGAACATCTCTCTTCGAAAAGTGTTCCAAAGACGAGTAGTTCGGCTTCGAATCCCTTCCCGCCACATTCAAGCCCAGCCCCCCATCAACACTCGCCCCAGTTCCCCGAGTGGAAAGCGCAAATTACCGGTGATTGTCACGCCTCCAGTAATCCCCCCCCCCCGCTCGCGCGCATTCTCCGTGGCCTCCTCCCCCTAGTCGTCATCGTCACGCCTACGCTATCCTCCTCCCGGCGTGCTCCGTCCCGGATTTGTAGGAATGCGAGGTCAATGCTCGAAAAAACGACGACGGCATGCACGGCTATGAGTACACCCCCGCCCCGCTCGCGCGCATTCTGCGTGGCCTCCTCACCCGAACTCCTCCGCCAAGGCCTGGGCGCTCTCCTTGAAGGATGACGACAGGAAGTTCTCCAGCAACCAGAAGGTCACGGGCATGCTGGCCCGCTTCACCACGCTCATCATCATCACCTGCGGCGCCCGTGCGTTCGTTGATCACGGGTCGTTACATGAAAAAAAAAAAAAAAGCAGATCCGTCGTTACATGTAAACAAAAAAGTGGGCGCGTCGTTGCCACAAAAAAAAAAAAAACGGACGCGTCGTTACTCAAAAAAAAAAAACGGAAACGGAAACGAAACCCCAAAGCGTGCCATCTTACAAGTCAAAGGAGCGGCGCCGATGCCCGCAGCATGTGCCTGTTCTGCCTCAAGCATGGCAAGCACCATCAAAGCAATGTCCTCACTCCCTTCAAACGAGGTGCACTCCCCCCCCCCCCAACACACAACCGGTCCCGCCACCAGGCTCTCTTTCCTCTCGTCCTGGAGTATTTCTCAGATTCCGCGTAATCTCACCTTCAGGAACCGCTCGTACAGGTGGCCCGTCGCCAAGGAGAACACGTGCAACCTCTCCGCTTCCCCCCCCTTCACCTCCCCCATCCCCACCCCCTCCCCCTCCCCGGCCAAACCCACGAGCCCCCGAACGTTTTCCGTTGCCGCGGACACTCGAGACCAGATGCCGGCGGGGGCGGGGGCGCCGGCGGCGGCGTTGTCTCCGCTGGCGGAGGCGGCGAAACCGTCGTCGGCCTCTAGGAGGCCCACGTCTTCCATCCCAGGCCGCTTGCGCACCAGGACGGGCTCGTACCTGACAGGTTCCGTTGTGGTCGGAAATAGAAGCACGCACGCGTATGTTAAAAAAGCGGTGAGAGAGAAGGATGCTTCTGTAGCGCCGCAGAGGGTTGAATTTCCTCCTTCTCGAGTGAAACATAGTCGTCCCCCTCACAGAAGTAATGTTGCCTGTTTCCACCAATTGACTGCTCGAGAGACCTGTCGGAATGACTTTCAGACGTGGTTGCCCTCTCCCGCTCCGCCCTCCCTGTGCGATTCACGCTAATTTTTCACGAGTGAACAAAGTCAGGACGCCCCAACAGCAAAGGGGAGCTCAAGCCAATCTTCAGACACACACGAAATCGAAAATCGACGTGAGTTACCACTCACGCCAAACTAGGAGGATGAAGAGGTATCGCCAGAACGTTTGGTAAGTCTGGATGCCCGAGCAACCCGGCACATCTGACTTGGCACAGCAAACGCAAAGATGATGTCTACCCTCGGTTCATCTTTTTGTGATACGTAGTCTGGGCCGGCGAAAACCGGCATGTCGCTCCGTCCCTGCGTCGTAGGGATGCGAGGTCAATGGTCTAAGGACAACGGCATGCGTTTACACGAGTGCATACCCCTGCGCCATGTTCCAAGACAAGGGAAACAAGCCCGGCGGGGACAGATAAAGGTGTCCCTGCCGCCGGAACACAAAAAAAAAAAAAAAGCGAAACATGATGATCGGTTCCTCGACGTCTCTCTCACCTGCTGTAGAAGTTACGCACGACGATGGCCTGGCTCTCAGCCGCCGGCGATGCCCCCTCCGCCGCCCGCTCCGTCTCCAGCCGCCGCTGCACCTCCAATGCCGCGGCATGGGCGGCGGAATTAACCACCCCGCCGCTACCGCTACCGCCTCGTCCGCCGCCGTCGATGATCTCATAAACTTCGGAGGCCCTGCCGTCCGCGAGCTCGAGGTCCCACACCCCGGGGGACGCCTGGAGCTGAAAGTACCCCAGGTTCTCCATGACGACAGTGTCCGCTGTGACCCCGCCGCCGCCGCCGCCGCCGCCGGTGGTGTGGGAGGATGGCGTCGACGGAGAAGGCCGGAGTACGAGCTGCAGTCCTTGAGGCGGAGAGGGCGGACTGGAGGTGACGTCGTAGCACCTGCGGTGCATGAGTGACATCATTCGTGGGGCGGG